TTGATAATATTATAGTCTTATCTATTATATACTACTTTTGCTTTTTTTTTTTTTTTTTTGAGTAGTTTATCTACCTTGTAGATACATCAAAATTCCATAACAATAGTTAGATTTCCTATCAGAAAAATACTATATCAGTTCTTTCTCAATCAGAAAACAAAGTTGGAAAATACTGCTCTATAATATGTCTAGAACCATTGAATATTTCAACTATATTAGTACTGTCACCTTACATCTGGCTTATCATCATCCTGTCCTATATTGTATTGAAGAATTGAGATGATGTTTTTCAATACAGTATAAAGTAATTTTAAATTTTGAACAAGCATTATACAATAAAACAAGTTTTAAATCAAAATAATTTGTATTATTTAAAGGAAAAGATACAGGCTAATTCAACTGCATTACTTTTTAAATAATTCTCAAGCCCAATTTTCATTATTTTTAGTAGTATTAATTAAATACTATTCAGATAAACATAAAATCTATATATAAAATATTTATCTATCAATAATGTAATTTATAAAATGATTGAATATTTATAAATCAAAAATTTCTCTGGGTTTTAATATAATTGAAGAATCAGTTAAATTAAAAAACAAAATACAGAAAAATTTATTGCTTCTAATAAAATTTTAACTATTACTTTTATCATCCTAAATTTAAGATCATATATCTACAGATGTGTATTTTGATATTAATTAATTAAGTTAAATATGAAATTTAAAAATCTATCTATTTAAAATTTATAATTTAATAAGATAGGAAAGATTTTTAAATTTCACAATATATACATAACTTATAATTACATTAACATATACAAATACAAAACTAATAAATATTTATTTAATATTGAAAATAATGGGATAAGAAAAACATAACTATTTATTTTCCACTTTAATTAAATTTCATCAGATTTGTTTTGTATGACAATATTATAAATTCATTTTCTATCCAGTCATATGATTTTAAACAAACTCTTATGGTATGTGAAGACAGATCTATAGTCAGAATTAAATGATGTATATAATAAACATGTATTCTTATTTCCTCTGCAATATTCTAGGATTGCATATTTTACTAAATATTTATTATTAATCAATAATTATTTATTTTATCTCTGTTGTAAAACAAGGATAAATTAGTTTTTAAAAACTTTATGAAAATTTATGCAATTTCTATAATAATTTTATTAAAGTAATATTCATATATTCTATATATAGTATGGTCTTTTCTGTTCCCTCCTTTCTGTTTCTGTTAACTCAACATTGTGTCATGCTTACTGGGATGTTTTTTCCAACACTATGTACCAGGCCGTCATGTTTGCTCTTATACCTGTTAAGCAATAATCACCATCCATATTTTCTCTAATGTCACAACTCCTGCATTTCTCATAGTCCATGTAAGTGTCATTTGTAGCACGAGTTGAAAAGGGATATAATTATCTGAAATGCATTCTCAAATAAATAAAAAGTCTTTCTAAAGTTTGTTTTTTGTTTCATTGATGGTGTAATAAGTCTAGTGAAAAAGAAAAGCCGTTTAGCGCTCATATATTTGTACACAAGACTAGACGAGAAGCATATCGCATAGTATGGTCTTATTTTAAGTGGAGATTACATGTCAGCAAGTAATGTATAAAATGAAATTTTGCTTTATGTTCCATTCCAAGTAATCCCAATTGATCACCTAGACAATTATGCAACCAAATAGTTTGCAATTAACATGTGTTAAACACTTGTTAATAGTATTTAACTTGTTTTTACTATGTGAATAACATTTTAGCCTGATGTTTCTGAAAAACAAAATTCTTTTGTGGAAACTACTGAAAATAAGAATAAATATATATACAGCATAAGCAACAGTATATATACAGAATCAATAACAGAAATAAAAACAATAGTTTTTCAGTTATAAGTCTTAATTAATAGTTAATATATAACTGGAATAATATTTAGTTCAGTGGTTACAATTTTAGATATAAAAATGCTTCCATCTGGAAATTTCTGAGATCTTATCAACTTGTTCTACAGCACTTATGCAATAATTGTTTGTCAAGTGCTTCTATTCTTAATTTCACAGTTCATCTTATAAAATTTATCTGTATAGATACTGTATGATTCATATACATTTGAACCCAAATTTTTTATTATAAATCTTAAATGAACAAATGGAAATTGATGAGATTTTCAGGAAGCATACCTTCAATGTGGTCCACAAACCATGCTTCCACTTGGAACTGGTCACTGGGTGGTAGTAGAGGCACAATTCAGTCCCTTTTTCTTAAGAAAAACACTAAACACCACTGCATGTTTGTGGATTTTCTCAGAATTTGTTGAACAACTTGATGATGTGGAACTGACAAGGGGTTACTTCCATCAAGATTAAGCGACTTGCCACACATCACAGGAGTCAATGGCAACAATCTAAAGTTATTTTGAGGACAGTGTCATCTCCAAGAATCTGTGCCTGCCACTGTACCACTCTGAACTTCATTTTATGAAAAGAGCACTGCCAGAGTTTAACAAACCCTGCACAATATCTTAGAGGATAACATTAGGAATGAGATTGAAAACATTGATGATACAAAAATGAGACACATTATCAACAACATGCAGTAATGCATGGACATGTGCCTGACAGAAGGTGACCATTACTTCCTGTGATGTGATGTGTTCAACATACATGGAGGTAGACCACCTGCAATCCCATCAATTTTCATAATAAAAAAATTTAAGTTTGGATCTATATGAATCACCCTGTAATAAATTATACAGATTTATTATCAAAAATATTAAGTTTAAAAATTTGATATTTATTTATATTTAAAATTATTCTATGCTTAATCAATCGGATTTACAATAAACTTCCATTAATTCAAGCTGAGATAATTCAAAGTTTTGGTTAATTTGAATTTTGTATATATTATTATTCTCCATAAATTTTAATATTACATTATTTGCATTCATTTGAAATTTCAGATCTTTTTAGATAATTTGAGCAAAAATAAATTACATCATGCATTACAAATGACTTCTATTATGTGAATATTAAAAAGATAGCTTCATCAAATAAAAGTTAATCATGCTGGCCCTATTTTATACATATTTTTCCCTTTTTAATCTATAACGAAATTTTCCTAGAATGTTAAATATCAATATTCTAAGCCCTTTTATTATTTTACAATGCTCTTAAGTTTAATTTTAATGATTCAACAAATATGATGAAAAATCATATCATATTTGTTGTATCATATGTATTGTTTCCTAAACTTTTATTGCTTATTACATAATTTGAAACTTTTCTGTANCTATAACGAAATTTTCCTAGAATGTTAAATATCAATATTCTAAGCCCTTTTATTATTTTACAATGCTCTTAAGTTTAATTTTAATGATTCAACAAATATGATGAAAAATCATATCATATTTGTTGTATCATATGTATTGTTTCCTAAACTTTTATTGCTTAATTACATAATTTGAAACTTTTCTGTATTAAAAAGGCCTAGAAAATTAGAGTTTATTGTATTTTATTAATACTATCTACTTAAAATATTATATAGCTGATTAGATTATATTTTAACTAAAAAGTTCCTAATGTTTGAACAGTGCTATTCAAATAAGATTAATGTATAATAAGTAATTTTAAGATTAATGAACTGATATATTTCTGGACTATTAATTGTAGAATAGCTATTATACTTGATTTATTATTTAACTTTTCAGGATGATTTGGATTATATATTTGACACTTATTTTGATTTTTAGATGTTTTACATTCTTAAAAGTATCTTCACAATAAACTGTTTTAATATTTATTTAGGACTAGGAATATTAAAAAAAAAAACATATGCAAAACAAAATTTAATATTTTATGTATTAAAGTAACAACAGAAACTAAAAACCATGCCTAATTTATTTATTATTATATAGTGGATCTTTTCTTCCAGTTGAATGAATCTTGGTATCATATTGTAAGAAATAAAAATATAAACTGCTTTTACAGGTTGTTAAAATCTTTTACTTTAAGAAATAAATGTTTTCAGACTTAAAACCAGCATCAGTTTCTGTTTGAAAACGGAACAAACATTCTGAACACTATTTTTTTTTTAATAAAAAGAGTAAATTGGTATGCCAAGATTAGAAAGAGGATCTAAGAGGGTAAAGATTTGTACCTGTGTAATATACAAACAGTATATCAGGCACACAAACAGGGAGAGGGCTCATGGGACTAAAGCCTCCTTTGAAGTTTGTTAGAGGTCCTGTAACAAAATAAAGGCTGGAAGGCCAAGACAGTTAAGATATCAGCTATCAAATTCAAGGAATGAACCCTCCCAAAAGAAATTTCTGGCTACGAGCCTGGTATGTTTACTATACCCTAAAATATGTTTATAACTTACCTCCTCACATTAAGGATTTATAAACTTATTTATTTTGCATATTTTATTTTTATTGTGTTTATATAATGGATTAGAAACTAACATATCTGTCGACATACTGTATTAGTAAATAATGAAGAGAAATGATTCAAAAAAATATTGAGTTTTCTAAATACATAGAACTGAAAATAATTCATAAATCATTATAGTGTCATTTTAAAAAATATTATCAATACAAAAACATTCATTTTAGCTTCTGTTTGCTGATTTCAAAATTAAACTTGTAAATCTGATTTATTGCTATCATAATAAAGGATATTTTTCAATATTTTATCTATTAAATTATTACAACTTATAATTTTTCCTATTATCAGTGAAGAAAAAAACAATAATTATGTTTGAATCAGGTTATAGCAATTACTTATGTCCTTTCTTTTGAGGTCAAAATATATTGATTGTAATTTCAAATTGTCAGGTTACTAAATATCAACATTTTAGGACCCAAGTTAACCAATTTGATCAATTTTAAGACAATTAAAAATAATAATAATAAATAAATACAGTATACTATATATATAACATAAATACAATAGTAAAAAAAAGTAAAGTAAAAAGAACTTACTATGAATTATTGACGAAAATAAAAAGAAAAATTATAAACAGAGTAGAGTGCATCTTGTTTGATTAATATACAGTTAATAAATTAACCATATTGTTTATCATCACAGCAATTGAAAGCAACCACTAACTACGTCATAATATCAATCACAAGCGTAACCAATCATTTTAAAGTTTACGAAACAAATAATTCTAAAAATTACTCTATTCGGATTTTCTACCGGGAAAATTAACGTAAAATTTCCCCGGAACATTTTTAATACTTTAAATTTCATTTCTAATTACTTTTATAAATTTAACAAAGTTTAGAAAATTTTGTTCGTTTTTAATTGATTAATGTTTAATTTTAATAGATAATTAATCTTACTGTTTTAATTAATAATATAATTACAAATATTTTATGTATTTACGATAGAACTTCTTTTGTGTTATTATATAAGAAAACTTTTTTTAGTTGATTTATTTTTCTTATCGTAATAATTTAACATTTTTGTGTTGTCTTTAGTGTAATTACACGTACAGTTCTGTATACAATTACACGTACGCATAATGTTTAAAATTTAAATATTAAATATAATATATTTTTAAAAATATTAAGCATATTGTCATTAAACACTGTTTTTCCTTCTATATTCTATTTCTATTATATTTAATTATTTTAACGGGCTATAAGAAGAAATATTTCGAAATAAATACAATTTTTTTCTCTAATAATAAATTTGAGAATAAATTTATAAACAAGTTAAAGCTAGAATATATATAGATTTGCATTAGGAAAAATTGTATTTATTTCGAAATATTTCTTCTTATAACCTGTTAAATCAATTAAATATATACTCGCAGTGTATATTCTCACTTTTGTCGCTTTCCGTTTTGTGAGCACCAAAAAGGGTAGTTTTAAATCATATCCAAATGTTTTTTTTTTCTAGTTTGCCCTGTAAGCACTAAAAGGGTTCTTTTCAAGCCCATAGTGGATTCGGTCAGACCCACACTGGGGATGGCCCGGTGATGAGGAACGACGCCAATGTATCCAGAATTTTTCAGAGATGGTCTGAAAAATTTTTGGGATTTTTCGATTCCCCGAATTAAATCCCGAGTCTTCCAAAGCAAAGGCTGATGATTAACCGCTCGGCCATCCTGCCCATCCTATCCATCGTGCCCTTCAGCGGCCGAGTGGATAAAACCACTCGACACTGGTGGTTAGTAGTGGGTTTGTATTTGGTGGAGTTTTCCGGGTTTTTTTTCATGATAGTAACACTTAAATAATTGCCAGTTTCCCATAAAAGATCTCCCGGGAGATCGTCCATGTGCCACTTTGCCATATGCGAATAAAACTAAACTAAAAACCAAACCAATCGTGGAATCGTGGGTTTGGATAGGTATACAATGGAAATGGACAGATGGTGAGGGACGCTCACAGGCCGACTTATGTACTTCTTGTAACGTTTGATTAAAAATTTGTACTTAAATCATTGAGTACTGTGCTAGGATTTGAATCTTTGTATGTATGTATATATATATATTATAAACATATTTTTTTAACACCTAAAGATGGCAATCCATTTGAAGTATATTTCAGTAATAAATGTTACAAAATTTGAACTCGTGTAAAAATCGAAGTAGGTCAAAAAAAAATCTACATTGATGAAGATTGATGTTGTATTGATATAACTGTTCGGCCTACATAGATATAATAGATTATAAAAGTATATTAAGTTAATATTCTGTAATTGTTTTGAATTTAAATTAAATTATATTTAAATATTTTTTGAACAGTGTGCGCAGAAAACAATATTCATTTCTATTACAGTACATAGAATTTAGGTTGTCATTCAGGAATTTTTAATGAATCAGTTCTGATGCAGTAGGATAAATAAACCACGCAAACAAAGTTTCTTTGTCGCGTAATTTAGCAATACGAAGTTAAGTTTGAAACATACAGTAGAACCTCCATTATCCGGACCTCCATTATCCGGATTTTCGATTATCCGGATTGTTCAAAATAAACAAAAATTTTACGAATTTGCTGATTCGCACTTGGCGAATTACGACACTGTTTATGTACGTGATGGAATGCATAACTTTTTTTGTTTCAACAACGTCTCACCTTGCACAGTGGTCGTAAACCCTTAAATATATTTTACGTAGTAATAAAAATATAACTTGACATACGTATTTATAAATAATTTATATTCAAATTACATCATTTCTATGACCAAGGGCGGCGTAAGGCATGGACGACGCGGGCCACCGCCTATGCTTCGCGGTCCGAAGGGCCTCGCGTTTCGTAGGTTTATGCATTACTTAAAAGCTGCGAACGCGAATAAAAAATTTTACTCATCATAAAACGATAAATAGTTTGTCAAATTTTTATTCATAAAAATGCAGTTTCAACTGCTTTTTATTTTATAAAATCCGTCTTCTTGCGCCACCAGAGGGCCTTTTAAACAATAGGTAGTCTGTTAGCGTTGGTCAGTAGTAGTCCAAATTCAATACGAACGTTTGTTTCTTGAAAATTTGATCACGATTTAAATACAGTACAGTATTTACTTTTAATATTACCGATATGTCATCGAAAAGAAAACGTGTTGTATTATCATTAAAAGACAAATTAAAGTATTTGTTTCGATTATCCGGATTTTTCCTTATCCGGACTACCTTCATCCCCAATTAGTCCGGATAATCGAGGTTCTACTGTATTTTATATGCTAACCTAATTGTATAGATCATTTATCAAATATTTTCAAATATAATTTTTCTTTTATTAAAAAATTATAATAGTATTTTTTAAATTAAATAATAACAATAGTAATTTGTTTACAAACAATTTTTAAATAAACAAAATTTTTTCGATTTAAAATTTCAGAAACTACACGAAAATCAGCGTTAAAGAAATCAAAAGATTTATTGTCTTTGTATCTGTGTTTTATGCTGTAGCGGCCTTTAAAATTTTTTTTTAAATTAATAATAATATTCGTCTACTTTTTTTACTCTTTCCGCCCTGTAGGCAGTAAGAGGGCCTCTTAAGGCAGGCCTATTATGGGTTCGGCCAGGCCCACAATGGGGCGAGCGGGTGGTGAGGGACGGGGCCCGACATATCCGAACGGACCACCCCCCGAAAAATTCCTGGGGATTCTTTGACCCGTCCGGATTCAATTCTGGGTCCCCAGAGCAGTAGGCTGCCACCTTGACCGATCGGCCATCCGGCCGTTGAAATATTTGTCCACCAGGAAAAAATACTAAACAAGAGAAAGTAACGTTGCATCATGTTAAATTTAATGGATTATTTACAACAGTTTTATCATAAAACTATTGTAAATAATCAGAACAAATAAATACATTGCAATTATTTTATTGTATTTTCAATTGTGTTAGAATGTTAAATTTCTTTTTAATGATTCGAGGAAAATCTGAAACGACTAATATAATCATAGTATTTCTATCCTTTGAGATTAACTTTGTAAATTTTACTTTAATGAAAAATCTGTAAACGCATAAATACGGGCCATTTTCCCTTAAAAGACCTCCCGTAAGGCATCCCTCCTAGGCAGATCGTCCAAGTGTTGCGTTGCCATAACTGAACAAACAAACAAGATTAGGGCGAGTAGATCTTACGTTGGAAGCATTATCAAAACAAATTAACAATTTGTTTTGATAATGCTTCCAAAATGCGAATTCTTAATTAAATAAAATTTCGCTCACTTACCGTTTATGTTCATCCAAATTTCGCCTTTCCTAAATGTAGATCCTTTCAATTTATTTTTATCATAAAATTAGTTTTGTTTTCGAGTTTTAGTTTAAATTCTGGATTTTACTGTTAACTAGAGGCGGGTATTCCCTGTTAACTGTTCCCGACTCGGAACAGTTCCACACCGAGTATCGAGACAGTTCCGATCGGAACTGCTAACGCGTTTCTCATTTCCTACTTTTACCAATACGGCTTTTCACCAACTGTTTATCCGGATTTCAACTAAATGAAAACGTTTTACGAATTTTTAGGAATAATCGAATTAGTTTAGAGTATTTTAAATTCATAGACATTTTAACAATTTATATTTTTATTACAGTTTGTAATTGTTTGTTTTTTAATAAATAATAATACTACTGTATTTGTCCACTTTTTTTTTACTCTTTCCGCCCTGTGGGCACTAGGGGGTCTCTTATAGCAGGCCCATTATGGGTTCGGCCAGACCCACAAAGGGGCGACCGAGTGGTGAGGGGCTGGACCCGTCATATCCGAACGGACCACCCCCCGAAAATTTCCTGGGGTTTTCTTGACCCGTCCGGATTCGATCCCGGGTCCCCCAGAGCAGTAGACTGCCACCTTGACCGCTCAGCCATCCGGCCGAAGGCATTGCTGGGCTTAAAGTTAAGAAGAATAAATGTTTCCGGTAAAATGATAACCATTTTACAAATTTGGTTATTTTAGCCTACCATTGTTATATTTATCACGAAATATCGAGGAGGTCAAATTGGGGAAGAGTGGAGTCAGCGGAGTCCGCAGACCATGAAAAAGAGATCACAATCTGTAAAAAACAGCATCGTACATTACGCGAGGAGCAAACTATATAATTCGACGTCGGATCAGCGCTCCCACAAGCTGGCGCTGGTCAAGGTTCTAGAATATACCATAACGGCTTACTAAAAAGCAAGGACTATATACTACAAGGATAGCCAGATCCCTATTCTACAATGTTAGCCAGGAATGCCAAGTTAGTGACGTCAGCACAAGATCTGACCTCTGTTTACATAGAGCAGGGTGTGCACATGTTTAGTTTTCGCTTTTAATATTCGTCCAATTTTGTGATTAACGAAGTGATTTATTTTAATATTTCTGTAATTGTTTTATTTGACTAAGTTTTTTATAAGGTAAGATGATTTAAATATAAGTCATTAAATATTTAAAGCTATATTTTTATGTTAGGTGAAGAACAAAATGCTGAGTACTAGGTGTGCTGTGTATGGTTGCAATAATAACCTTCTTTTTTCAAATTGGAAGCAACCTGTTTACATCGGGTTTGATCAAAAAATGACAAGAGAAATACTTTTAAAATTAATAGCAGAACTTTATTTACTATCGTATAATGTAGTAGCTTGCGTCAGTGACTGTAGTTGCAGTAACATAAGTTTATGGAAAGAATTGAATGTGAATATCAATGAAACGTTTATTATGAATCAATTATTATTATCAATGAAACGTATATTAGAGATATAAATATGTGGTTCGACATTTTTAATAGCTATGCACCAAAAGGTTCTGTTCCAAGCAAAAATGGATATGGTGTAGACTTGGAATTACAAGAAGAACATTTAAATAAAATGATAAAAATAATCTCAACAATGAGAGCAAGTGGAAAAAATGCCCTCCAAATTTTCCAGAAAGGAATGATAATCTCAATGAAATCGCTAATTGATCTTTTTCAAGATATGAAATCGACTTTTGATATAAAATACATCTGCACTCACAATTTAAATCAAGATTGTCTGGAAAACTTTTTTTTTAAAATAGAAGCCGGAGTCCTAATGAACATCCAAGCCCATTAAATGCTATATATAGGATTAGATTGATTATTTTAGGTAAGAATCCTGGTATTTTAGAGTCAAAAGTAAATACTACAGATCGAAGACAAGAGGAATATATTATACCCAAAGTTTTAGAGAAAGCACATGTAGAAGTATCAAGTGAAAATACAGACCAATATACTGAATGTAAAACTACTTTTTCTTCAAATAAATCTTCAGGAAACTCTACATGCAATCTAGACTTTAACACAATCTCTGAAGAAACTTCCTACGATGCTCTCGAGTATATAGCAGGATATTTTGCCTATAAATATAAAGAAAAATACCCAAACTTAATTAATTCCACTAACAAAATTAAAAATCATTACAACTATAGCATTCCGTCATGGGTGCAACATTTATCTTATGGAGGGCTTATTAAACCTACTGATGAATGGCTAGCAAAAATTATAGAATGGAATAAATATTTCGAAATATATCACGATGAATCGTATAAAAAAGGCCCCGGAGTTGTACAGAATTAGTCAGTGGAAACAGTTTTACCTTTTACTTTAATAAAAGATTTTTGTAAATTAAGAACTATAATAAGAATTAATTATAGAAATCTTAAACAAGAAAACTATAAAATATTGAAAAGAATGCCTTCTGAAAATGGTGATTGTCGAAAAAAAATTAAAAAGTTAAGTAAGATAATCACATAATAAAAAATATAGCTCATTAATTTGTTAAATAAATATTAGACAAAAGACTTGTAAATTTATTGACGTACAGTACACTTATTAAATCCGAAAATTCTACAGTAGTTTACATTTAGTAGTAATTTAATAATTAATTAAGAAATGATTTAATATTTTATCGTATTTTGTTATTTGAAAGATCTGTCATGTTGAAGTAGAGGGCTTGCTGTGACGTCACATAGATCCAAGGTCACGCTAACAAATATACGGGATCTGGCTATCCTTGTAGTTTAAAGTCCTTGACTAAAAAGACTCTCTTACCCACGGGGCGGAAAGAGTTTTAAAAAAAGTATTTATTTGTCATTCAGAAAATTTTAACATCTATTTATTTATATATTATAAATATTTAAATTAAATATATTATTTATCGTTTGACATTAATTATTTAAATACCAAATTTTATACGAATATAAAGATAAGTGCGGATTTCGGGCGGTATATTTTAGTAACGAGTCGTGCCAATCTGGCACTTGTAGACAAGTGTTTAGTCGGAAGAAGTTTGTATTTCGTTCATCGACGATTGTTATCGGAAGTATTAATAAAGGTATTTAAATAGAATAGATTTATTAAAAAGGTGAAGATGGGAAAGCGTCAACATCAGAAAGATAAAATGTACCTAACGTGTACCGAGTGGACTACTTTGTACGGTGGTCACTCCGGTACCGAGAACCGATCTCAGTTCAGACGACTGCCATTTTTTCACTGTTCTCTCTCCCTTCAACCTTTCGAGCATCCATTCTGTACAACCGAAGGCGTAATTTACGATCTTCAAAACATTCTTCCATTCCTAAAGAAATACGGACTGGATCCCGCAACCGGAAAGAAACTAAATTCTAAATCTTTAATTAAACTTAATTTTTCCAAGAATTCCGATGGAAAATATCATTGTCCGGTTCTCTTTAAAGTTTTTAACGAAAATTCTCATATCGTTGCTATTAAAACAACCGGAAATGTCTTTTCTTACGAAGCCGTAGAGCAGCTGAACCTTAAACCGAAAAACTTTAAAGATCTTTTAACGGAGGAACCGTTCACGCGAGCCGATATTATCACCGTTCAAGATCCAAATAATTTAGAAAAATTCAATCTCTCTAAATTCCACCACTTGAAACATAATTTAAAAGTTGTGAAAGAGGAAGAAGAAAAGGCCAAGAAAGATCCCACCTATCGTTTGAATAATATGAATACGGTGACTCGAGAAATTTTGGAAGAATTCAACAGAGAGTACAAACCGGCGGAGAAACGAGAAGAATCAAAGACGAAAGCCAATAAGTACAACGCCGCTCATTATTCCACGGGAGCCGTGGCCGCCAGCTTTACCTCCACCGCCATGGAACCGGTTACCGAATTAGAAGCCGCCGTTTTGGATGCGGACGTCGTTAGATATTCCAGGATTAAAAAGAAGGGTTATTTACAATTGCAAACAAATTTCGGTCCTTTGAATATACAATTACATTGTGATATGGTACCGAAGACTTGCGAGAATTTTGTGAAGTTATGTCAGAAGGGCTATTACGATAATACCGTGTTTCATCGTTCCATAAAAAATTTTATGATCCAAGGAGGGGACCCAACGGGTACCGGTGCGGGTGGCGAATCGTATTGGGGAAAGAAATTTAAAGACGAATTTAAACCAAATTTAGTTCATCAGGGAAGAGGTGTAGTTAGTATGGCCAATACCGGTCCTAACACTAACAAATCGCAGTTTTTTATCACGTATCGTTCGTGCAGACATCTCGATAACAAACATTCCGTATTTGGACAGGTCGTCGGTGGTCTCGACACACTCGCCAAATTAGAATCGATTTCGACGGACGAAAAGGACAAACCAGTAGAAGAAATCAAAATTATTCGGACAACGGTATTTGTGGATCCGTACGAAGAAGTGGATAAACAGTTAGAAGAAGAAAAACGGGAAGAAGAAAAAACTCTAGAAAAAGAAAAGGAAGAGAATACAAAAGAATTACAAGATAAGCCACTAATTGCCTATCGTCAAGGTATCGGGAAGTATCTTTCTAAAGCGACAATTGGTCCAATTATTCCGTCCGAGAAAACGACCGAACCTCCGCAAAAAAAGAAAAAAGAAATTTCGGGAGGATTTGGCGATTTTAGTTCTTGGTGAATTATAAAATAAAAATTTATATTTATAGTGATTAACTATAAATTTGTAAACTCTCGGTATTTGTTTTTCTTGTGTACAAAACATAAAATGAAATGAATTAATCAAACTTTCATTAAACCTTTAATAGAGCATGTATAAATTTAGAAAAAATATTTTAATCTGGAATTATTTCAATTGCATATTTAACTATTACATCAATGTGTATATTTTAGTATGTACTGTACATATATTGTATACAAAATAGTATGTTAAGAATATAAAAGGATTCAAGGTGTAATTACTGCATGTGTAATTATTTAAAATTTAAATGATAAATTATCATTTAAAATTAATTTTAATTCTTAATTTGTCTAAGAAATAACTTATCCTACATAAAATTCTTGGAGTCAAAAGAACATTTGTTATATCCATTTTCACATTTAGAATATTTCATGATTAGAAAAGTGGGAGTTGATTCTATAAAATTTTAAGTTCTTGAACTCAGACAAAAAATAAATTGAAAGAATATAGACAAAATTACAAATATTGATTGTATCACAATATTTATCAAGAGTTCAATAACTTATGTTAAAAATAAAAGAATGTCATTTATTAATTTATCAACTGATAGAAACAACTATTAATATTGCAATTAAGAATTTAATAATGTAATAGTATATATAGTATTTAGAAATCTACAATGAAAAATGTATGAATTGCATGTTTTAAAAATATAGAAAAAGATGCATTAATATAAAAAAAATTTTTATGTTAAGACAAAAATGAGTTTGCTTATGTTTGTAATAAATTTATATCAGATATGTATCTTGACATAGACTACAAAAATGTTTAATTACTACATAATCTTTTTTAGAACTTTATATAATAATAGCCCTACAGAAAGTATGAAATATTTAAAAATTATCATGTGTAAGATTTGTTTTCACATAATGCAGTTATCTTTTGAGATTTGGAGGTTAATTTATCATCTAGTTTTGTCAGATTTGCCGTCGTTAATCATAGATACTCGTAATTATTTATTGTCAAATTCGTCAAAAATTACTTTGAAAAATCAGCATATTTTGTATTTAATCAATCATTTCTCTGTTAAGAAAAGTTTCATTCACACTTATTTTTTTTTATGGATCTGCTTATCTAGAAATATAATACATCTGTAGTTAATTAGCAATAAAGACATCATACATAACACTATTGTATGCTTAATTATATGTCAAAAAATTAAACTACATTTTTAAAAAATGGCGATTTTAATCCAAGTCAATATTGATTGAAATATTAAAAGAATTTTTAAACATCAGACTTTGATAAGGGCTTATCTGAATATTTGTAATCTTAACATTAGATCTGAACAGGCATATTTAAGGGCACGTGGTTAGAACTCGTGTAAACCAGTTCCCGTTTTGATTAGCTTTGGATTTCTTTCTATGGATTGTTACATGTTTTGTTGGTAACTTTTGTTATTTTGTAAGTGTTTATTGCATCTTCTGGTCAATTCTATATTTTAGTAACGAGTCGTGCCAATCTGGCACTTGTAGACAAGTGTTTAGTCGGAAGAAGTTTGTATTTCGTTCATCGACGATTGTTATCGGAAGTATTAATAAAGGTATTTAAATAGAATAGATTTATTAAAAAGGTGAAGATGGGAAAGCGTCAACATCAGAAAGATNGATATTAGATAATATATATATATATATATATTTCTTTTATACAAATTTTACTCGATTATGATTTCATTTTTACTTCCTTATCCTCGTTATCTTTACTTTAACGATATTCTTCCATATCCCTATGTACTATTATTGCTTTTCTTGTATCAAACTGTCTAGATTTTTAAAATTATGTTTGTTTTATTATTCAATATGTTATTATTTATTAGATTTAAATCTATGCATACTGTATTTATGTATATGTTACATAAATACGTTGTTAAAAATCATTGCATTTATAAATTTTAATCGGCGTGGTCTTTTCTTCGATGTTCTGTTTGTCCTCTCAAACGGAGAGACTATAAATGAAGGTAAATTTGGAAAAGAAAGGAATATTTGACGTATAATTTCGCAAACTTGTTATAGATAGAATCTTTGATAAGTTTGAAATGTTTCTTTCAGAGATAATTCTTGTTATTTCTTAGAAACTCTTACAGTTTCCAAGCTTCATTTTCATTATTAAATCTTTTGACATTTCTAAATCTACTTCACCCGAAAAAATTAAGAAGTTCATTTAGCTTCTGTCTTATTTTTTAGAATTCATTCAAATTGATTAATGTGGTTTTAGTTAAGAGCAAACTAAAATCATGTGAATCAGCTTAAGTAGAATTATTTTCTCTATGATAGAATTAGTTCCTAATCTATATGCTGTTTCTAGCCTAATCTATACATTATTCTGTATAGATTTATACCTGCAAAACAAATATAACTGGAAAAATGAATTGATTTTCATGAAATATCAATATTTTCAATGTTACTTATATATACATCTTTTTTATACATACCAAATTAGTTTAACCCCAAAAAATATTACATAGAGTCAGCTCAGTTAAATGAATGAAAGTAATTTAATTTTCAATAATTAAAAACCGAATTTAAATGAATTAAGTCATTAATAATAGGAGGAAAAAAGTTCTCACCTCTGCCGCTCGCATCTCGAATTTTTAAAATGGGCTCTCCATTATCACGAAAACGTTAAGTGGTTAAGATCATTTCGTTTTCTCGCGTATTTTAACTAGCTTTAGATACAAATTATGCGTTAACTAAGAAAATTCATCACGATCTTATTTTAGAAATGAAAAAAGTTTTAAAAGTTCAAAGAAAAAGTTTATCTTCCAGAAAAGATATCTTGCAACCCAATTTCTTGTTTATTTTTAAACTGCCCTATGGGAAGTAAGCGGGTCTTTTTCCCATACTCGTGGTGGATACGGCTAGGCCCGCAATGGGAGACCGAGTGGTAAAGGACTGGGCCCGACATATCCGGGATACGTCGAGCTCTCCACGAAAATTTCCTTGGGTTTATCGATCTCCGGGGCTTACTAAAGGGCAGAGCGGTAAGCCGACGCCTTAACCTCGATCATGGCGGTTAAGGCGTCCATATTCCAAATTAAGAACCTAGGATGCAAGACTGCTCTAAAATTACTCCGAAAATTTTACGTCTATTTGAAATGGTTTCGTGATAGACTTTTGAATTGGAATATTCATTAAATACGTACAGACAAACGAACGTACAAAAGTGGTAGATGTCGAAGGTCCATCAGTGGCCGAGTACCACCGGCGCCAACCCGCCACCGGAGTACCCGGTGGCGGGTTGGCGCCTTATCAACATTTCGACTACGTGGAGTTTTCCGGGTTTTCTTCATCCGTCCAGCCGTAAAACATATAAATAAGGTCATTTTCCCCATAGAAAATCCTCCCGGGAGAGTTTCCCACTTTGCAGATCGTCCACGTATTGCATTACCGCATCCGACCAAATCAAACCAGCCAGATGCTGACGCAACACGTAGTGCATTATACGTATATATTTTAATGGATAAAAATGTTTGTTTTTAGTAATTAATCAAAATTATGTAATTTTTCAATTATTTTAATGAACTTTCCATATTTTTTGGAAAAACTTAACCTATCGTAACAGAATTTTATTTCGTCGTTGCTCGTGTTTGTTTAAATTAACATTGGCAATTCAATAATCCGAATGAATCGATGGGTTAATGTTTTAATTATTTTTAAATTTCCGTTTTTATGGATATTATTAACAAATTTACATTGCTTAATAGGAATTGGCAAATATCGAACGATATAGAATGATCCGGGGCTAGACGTAACGTGTCATAAATTATTGAGTTATAATTTTAGAACAATTCCAGACTGTTTAATAAACAATAATTTTTTAATCGGAAATTCTTTCTCCACTCGTCCAATAATTAATTTAATTTACGGTTAAATTAAGTTAAAACACATATTAAAAGTACCGAATTTAATTGCAGTTTTAATATTTTCAAGTATTTAATTTATATTAAATTCAAAATTAAAAAATTTAATTTTAAAATTTCCACTTCCATTCAAACTTTACCAAAGTTTATGCATTTTTATAATTTTGACTTTAAAAAAAGCTAAATTTATTTTATTTTAAAAAAATATTAATAGAAACAAAGTAAAAGATATAAAATAAAATTAATTCAAGGTAAAAAATTAAAACAAAAATAAAGCAATTATTATTGCCGAGATCAGATTAATACTTGATAAGTATAAAGTGCTGTTGAGAAATAAGTGGCTTACCAATTTCTGAAATTAAAAATAAACACAAATAAGCACATGATCTGACGATCATGTTATAAATCATTTCGAGACATCTCCGATCTTATCGGGATGAGTCAAATAGAATCTTGTTTAAATTATTAAAAGAATTTTCTTATCAATCCTCAAAAAACAGAATCAATGTGTCATTCCATAAATACGGTGCATATTAAATTACAGACACGCCTACAGATCGTGGCCATTCTTCTGTTCCAATATACATTAGTACTATAAATAATTTGATAAAAATTTTATTTTTTCATTTATGCAATTCAATTTATTCTTTGTTACTTTATTCCTATCTACGAAATTATTTTGTATTAATGTAAATATGCAATTTATTTCTGTTTGCATCCATATTATTAAGCGTAGGTTGCATAATGCATACTGGAAATAAAGACGTGTCTTTGATTTTTTTTTTTTTTTTATATTAAACAATTACCCCAAGCTTGCAAGAAAATTTACTGTTAAAATTTTACGAATTATTAATTTTAATCAGTTTTTATTAAAACTGAATAAGGCATTCGGTCATTTTCATATAAAAAGTAAGATTATCTGTAGTTTTAATATGCTTTTTTCAGCAAAACGAGATAAATTAGCTTTAAAACTTTGAAAATAAAGTGGTATATTTGCTTTTAAGGCTTTTAAATTAATTAATAGGGGATATACCATTTAAATGTTGGAATAATTAAACGGTATTTATGTTCTAATATTAATTAATGGACTATTGAGGCTTCGACTAAAATACAATTAAAGATTGATGATCTCGGTAGGCCTATTCAATTACATAATATTTAGCGAGAGCGAAATTACAGTTTCGGGAGCTTGATATCACAATTTGGCTTAATTATTTATTCATCTATTAATTAATTTCGAGTAACGCGAGATCATTATGGATGGAAACATTACAAATTCTGTATCGAATAATCTTTAAATGGCATTAATACTTACATTCGGAATTAGAAATGGAAATTTTGAGCCGTTATAAATTCCA